GAACTGGCAAACTTATATTCATGCCAAGTAAAAAAGAGATGACACAAACTAGATCTATCATAAATAAAAGATCTAATCACATTCTAAGCTTAGAAAATTAAGTAGATAGTAAGAAAGAACTACAAAACTCAAGAACATAGGATAGAATAAGACTTTCATGAGTTAAATAGTATGTTTTCACAAGCAAGAGAGTTGTCTTGAATGTCCTATACTTATTATGGAAAATAGTAGGTCACCTAAGAAGAATTATTCATGCCCAGACCATTATCTTAATGAGTTCAATAAAGCATTTTAAAATCAAACTTGCCGGGTAGTGGTGGCACACTCCTTTAATCCCAGCACTCGGGAGACAGAGGCAGGCGGATCTCTGTGAATTTGAGAACAGCCTGGTCTACAAGAGCTAGTTCCAGGACAGCCTACAAAGCCACAGAGAAACCCTGTCTCGAAAAATAAAAAAAATCAAACTTAATTCTACAGAGTCTATTAGGCAAAATGAAGTGTAGATAAACTTCACAATTCAGTTCATGAGCTATAGTTGACCATTAACTGTATTAAAAGAAAATAAACACTGTAGAGTAATATATCCCACAGAGAAGTGTAATACCTAGAAACTAAATATTAACAAATCAAGTCAAGCAATATCTTAAAATGATACTGTATATTATGAATAGAGAAGTCATCAAGCTGGTTTAACATTTGAAAGTCAATGAGTATGATTCAAACTGCTATGAAATAGATTACCAGCTAAACAGAGATAACATTCAATGAATTCAGTGCTCATTCATGGTGAAATCTCTCTGTAAATTATAAACAGAAAATAAAATGATTAACTTCATAAAGGCAATAGGCAAAGCCATACTAAGTCATAGTGTATAGACAGAAATTGGAGATGTGTTACCCATGTGCAAAACATCATGTTAACTTCTGCAATGCAATATTGCATTAAAGCATTAGCCAGTATTAAAAAACACAGAAACTCGTGTAACTTGGTCTTCTTTGGAGACCTCCTAACAGTGGAAGTAGGGGATGTCTCTGACTCTTGCCTACATTTAGTACCCTTTCCTACTAATGGGTCGCCTCTTCCAGCCCTATTAGGAGAGGAGGTGCCTATTCTCACTGAAACTTGATATGCAATGGCTGGTTGATAACCATGGGAGGCCTGCCCAGTTCTGAAGAGAAACTGAGGAGGAGGTATAGGTGGGTGTGAAGTTGGGAGGAAAGACTGGGTGGAGAGAAGGGCAGGGAAAGCAGTTGGCATGTAAAAACAAACAAATAAATACAAAAAGAAGATAAAATTGAAAAGAAGACACTGAGAATGGAGGCTGTCTGAATTGACATACTATGTGACTGTCAGTATGAATGGTGCTGTGACATGGATCTCTCCTCCCACTTCCAGGTTGGTGCTTAATTGCCATGGTGCAGTATTAGGAAGTGAGATTGTAAACAGCCTAAACAGGCGATTAGAGCATTGAGACTCTGTTCTTACACCTGAACTAATGCCATTATTATGAGAGTGGGTTTATGATCAGGGTGAAATCTTTATAATAGGACAAACCCATACCCGTGTTGCTTTTCTGTCTCTTACCATTTAACCTGTCATGGATAGTGTTGTAATTTAAGAAAAACAGTGAACAAGAGAGAGACACCATGCAACAGGGTTCAAGCAGAGGGGGTTTTATTAGGGAAAGGGATCATAAAGGGGAAGAAAGGGAAGGAGTGAGAGCAGCCTCCAGAGACAGGAGCAGTGGGAGAGAGGAAAGAGGAGACAGGGGGGAGAAAGAGGAGAGAGAGGGAGATAGTGCACATGAGAGAACAGACAGACAGAGAGAGGGAGAGAAAGAAAGAGAAAAGAATGGGAAGTGGGCAAGGCCTGTTTAAAAGGGAACATAGTGAATATGCACAGGTGGTGCTTTTAGTGACTGCAGTTGAGAGCATATCCTGTTAGAATCCCAAGAACAAGCCAGTACAGATGCCTGAATACTAATAGATGACATCACAAAAAATTTCTACAGATAATAGTATTTTCATTTTGCACTTTTCATCTTCCAGAAATTTCTTTTCCTCATCCATTACCAAGTTTATGGTACTCTATTAAAGCACCATAAAGTTGCCTAAGACATGCACCAAGATTTTCGTACATAACATGAAGTTGTATGCAATGTATATAGGATGGTGAAGAAACACTTTTTAAAAAGCCAGTTATTATCAAAACAACTCTAAATATGAATTACAGAGATTGTGCTATCAATCTCAAGATTCACACAAAGCTTCAATGATTAAAATATTATGGAACCGGCAAAAGGGTAATGGACCTCCATAGGAAACAGAATAATACAGAAGTAGAGGCACATTAGCCTAAGAAATATATAGCACTAAAATTTTCAAGCAAAAATTTATCTATTGAAAATATGGTGCATAAGTAATTAGGAATTCATATGCAAAACTATAATAATGCAAAGTTTTTAGCATTAATAACTCAATTATATAAATTTGAATTTATATAATTCAAAAAGAAAATTTGTCATTTCATCCAGGGCAGGACCTAGGCCCTTCCCCAGGCTGAGAGGGCATACCTCTATTTGGATTGGGCTCCCAATGTTCATTCATACACCGTGGTAAACACTGATCTGCTACCCAAGGCCCCAGTGATTTCTGAGGCCTCCTCACTGACACTATATTCAGAAAGTCTGGATCAGTCCCTTGCTGGCCTCTCAGTCATCAGTCTGGGGTTCAAGAGCTCCCCCTTGTCCAGTCAGCTGTCTTTGTAGCCTTCACCAGCATGGTCTTGACCCCTTTGCTCACCACTACCCAACTCTATTACTGGGTATCTGTCTCTGCTTCCATCAGTCACTGGATGACGGTTCTAGGATGGCATATAAGATAGTCATCAACCTTATCATCAAAGGGGGCTATTAATGTAGTCTCTCCCTCATTGCTTAGTTTGCCAGTTGGTGTTATCCTTGTAGATCTCTGGAGATTTCACTAGTGGCAGTTCTCTACTTAAGCCTATAATGACTCCATTTATTATGGTATCTCTCATCCTGCTCTCCTCTGTTCTTACCTTGACTCAACCTTCCTGCTCCCCGACAGACTCTGGAGATCCCCCAAGGAGGACCTTACCCTCCCTGGGAAATGATGTGGGGACTGGGGGGTGCTGGGGGGGCTAGTGGAGGGACAAGGGAGGAGGGGTGGGAGAGGCATCTGGGATTGACACGTGAAGCATTCATGTTTCTAATTTAAGTAAAAATAAAAACATATATTGAGAAAAAATATAAAATAAAAATAAAGAAATAAAAAGAATTAATGTGAAATGAAAAAAAGAAAATTTGTACAAGTTGTGGCAAGGCAAAAGATTTTTGGTATGACAGAGAACAATGCAGACATTTTTGAAAAATGATCAATTGTAATTTAGAAAATTTTAAGCATTTTCATCTGCAAAAGAGGGACCAGAACCAATACAAAGATAAAATACAGGCCATAGAAAATGTGTGCATTGTATTTCTTGGAAAATCAGGATAGAGCCTGGATTAGCTTTCCTGGGATGTATAAGACATTTCAGGAATCAGCTGGATCTCATGGGTTTTCTTCTCTTCTAGATGCTTTCCTACATGAGCCTGTTGTGTGAAGCCTACTTGGTCTTCATGTAGCCATTGTAAAAATACTTAAAGATACATGTATGTCTTCTATGTATTTGACAAGTAACATGATAGATTTTCTCTAACACTGTTCCAACATATGATTTACACAAGTGATGAAAGTATTAGAACAATTGTCATACTACCTGAAAAATCAGATTACAGTCATCAAAGAGACATGATAATAAAGTTAATCATTTAATGACTAGTATGATTCTGGTATCTCCCTCCAATACCACCTACTCTTTCAGAACAATTAACTCAATGATAGAGTTTATTAAATATACTATTTTAAAAAACTATAAGAGAAATGAAAGTAGAAGAATACTTGTACATAGTAATAATAATATATTAAAAACAACTGGAAATAATTCAAAATATGACTGACAGTAGAATGATCAAACAAGTTATAGTTAACCTAACAATACATGCATCAATAAAAAAGTAATGAGCCATTTTATAAATGTCAGATATTGATATCTAGAGGATGTGGGTGAATTAAAGGAATCAGACAAAAATGGTTTACATGTTATGGTCACAAATATATGTTTCTAAAAAAGCAAATAATTTTGAAAGTAAACAAGTAAGTCTCTAGAGACAGAGAAAGGGAGAAGAAGGAATGGCCCCCAAAACAAACAGAGTTTTGGGAGTCACAGATAGATACTTGTTATACGGAATGAAGTGACAATTTCATGACTACATATATTTAAAACTTTAAAAATTATTTTCCTTAAAAAGCAGGCAGAATTTATTGCATGTCAACAATACCTCATCAAACCTCTTCATAAAAATACTTTAATATAAACATAAAATATTGGTTGTGATCTGTTAGTGGCCATTTAGTTGTATAACTTGAATCTCAGAAGCAGAATTGTAGAAACTTGGATAACTGTCAAGTCTATAACAGTGACAATTCAGTGTTTTCTCTAGTTTCTGGTGGCAATTTATAACTGTTGGGAGCCCTTTCATGGGGTGACACTACACCGTCTAGTGTAGGGCAGCACCATCTGTACTTGATGTTTTGTTTTTAGGAGAACACAAAGTCGGATAGTGAAAGAAAGTGAGTTGCATCCTGGAGCAGTTGGGAGAAGTGAGTAAATATGATATTGTGTATAATTCTCAGAGAGCTAGTTTATGAAAAGGAGGAAGTAAACTGTGGGCATGGTATTGTTCCTGAATCTCAGGGTGCAAGGGACCATGTCAGGATAATGAAATATGAAAGCAAATCCTCTCTTTTGAAGGACTAAACTGCCTATCAGATTTCTAAGTCCCAACATATAATCAAGTTGTGAAACTCTAAATCTGAACTTACAGAGGCAGAAAATACCCTTGTCTCCAACCATTGTCCATACCCAGATCACTTACTTGAGCTCCAGAATCTACAGAGAATTTCTTTTCTGGCCCTTCAAATATCCTCAGTGCCTTCAGGTTTTTCAGGAAAGTTTCTTCACCATTAGTTACTAAAACCTCCTCTAGATTAGAGTTGGTATTCTCTCAGAGCGTCAACAAGTATCCTTCAGGATGGCATTTTCTCTTGCCAGTATCAATCAGTATCCCTTCAGAGAAAACAGGAAGATTGCTATTTTGTCCACTCTCACTAGCAGCATACTCTGTGCCACTCAGGAACTCTCTGCTGTTTTCAGTAGGCCTGCTCCAACATGACTGGCTTGGCTCATGATAGTACTCGAGACAAAGCATGTTTCTTCATATAGTTTCACCAGAAAGTTCCTTAAAAATCATGGTAATTCTGGAAATACAAAGGGGATTTCTTGCTTGTAGCAACAGTATTGTATTCTGGAAATTACCTTTATAAATGGCATTTACTTTTTTTACATTACTTCTTTGAATATTTTTAAACATCTAGATATCAGTTATGTTTTTCCCTGAAATCTCCACTAAATTTAGTCGTGTGGTGGACTAAGTTTAGTAGAAGCACTTGGAAAATAATTATTAGGGTTTTTTCTTATGAAATAAATTAGGAAATGTTAAATTAAGAAGAATGGTCAAGACTTGTGCAGCATCTCTCTAAACTGTCCTTAGGAATATTTTAGTAATTACCTTGTAGTGGGGACATAGACCACTAAGACCACAAATTTAGACAGAAAATTATGGAAGGAAAAAACTATAATCTTTATTTTTGATAATTCTCTATATTTGAAATACACAAAAGAGAATTATTCACTCCATCCCTCAAAATTCTACCAGAATACAAAATGGTACTATGTAAGAACTCTTTCTACTGCCACACCACTGGGAATTTAGCAAACTAAATTACTCTTGGATCAGAATAATTAGTTTCACAAGGGCATACAATGTCTCTTCTCTCATCCACATTACTTAACAATTTCCAATTGTTGGAGTTTTAAATAAAAGACAAATGACATTTTGAGACTTTAAATTCATAATTATTCAATTTATTTAGGTCACCTTTGTCTAATTTATAAACTATTGGGTAGTCACTGTGAGGTTTCCATTCTAAAAATCACACAATAAAAAAATGTCTAATTAAAGTTTCTGGGCATTAGATTCTGAGGTATAGAATTGCATGCATTAACTTTATGTCCTTGGACCAGAAGAAGATTCACAAAGATAGTCTGCCTCTGTTGAGTAATATTCCCAGAAAGCATTTAGCTGACAAATTGTAACTACTAATTCTCCCAGTAACTCAGAGAATGGTGCCTCAGTCTGCAGTAGGACTTTCTTTGTACTTCTAGATCCTGAATAATGACAGAGAGACTTATTAGTAAGTATGAATATATGACCTTCTCTTAGGCTTGTTCCCAACTAGCCCTTATAATTCAAATCTTCTCATTTATATTAATCTATGTTCTGTCTTGTGACCTCTCTTCTCCTCAGTACTGTAGTTCCGACTTCCTCTACATCTTCCTGGCAAATCTTAACCTCTCTGACTTCTTCCCAGAGTTCATTCTCTGCCCAGAAGTTGTTCTTACCTTCTCCTGCCTACTTATTTAGTGTTCAGCTCTTTATTAAATGAATCGGAAGGTGGCTTGTTAGAAGAGTTCAAACAGAGACACATCTTTTCAGTGAATAAAAAGATTACCCCACAACATCAGTCCTATAGGGAACTTTGCACACCAGAGCATCTACTCTGTGACACCCAATCCACTGCTTAATCTACACACACTGTAGCAGAGTGTTATTTTGTAGACTAGAAGTTATAATTCCCAGTGGCATCATAGCTGACCCTCAGTCTATAACTAATCCTTACCATCCATCTTCTACTACATGGATGAATTATTCTCAGCAACAACTATTTCCGTCACAAAAGCTCTGTAAATCTGTGCAGCTCAATAGAAGTGATACTCTAAGATCTTTGTTCCTGTAATGCCTAAGACCATCTCACTACAGCCTTCTTAAGTTAAGGGTGATATGTTTGTCATTTTCCACTATGATTTGGCCAAAGGGGCAGAAAAGCAAGCTATGGATTTTATGGAAAGATTAATGATCTTGATTGAAAGATAGTTACATACTGTGCATGTCTGAAAATAAATCGAATCATACACATTTCATAGTACACAAATAATGCAGTATCATGAGAGCCATAGTGGACCATCTGAGTGTTCAATTGAATAAATTATTCACTAATTACCTGAAATGGTCAACTGTTGAAACCATTGAAAAGATCCGGTTTTTATTCACAAAGCATTTCTATTACAAAGGAAGCTTACACAGTGTTAACAGCAGAAAAATCATGCAGTGAATGGGGGTTTGAGTTTGTTGGAAACTGAATTAGTCTGACTAGTACTGTTTTCAAAGCAAAGAATCTGTGTTTTATCTATGTCTCAAACACAATCAGTATTTATGGGAAGCACCCAGTTCCAGGAAATCACAGATATGCTCATGGTGAATGTCTCACACTGAGCTGCTCACATAAACTACTCTATCATACAACCAGACTTTTTTTATTCTGCCCCTGATCACTGCAAGACTCAATTGAATCAGTTGCAAACTCTAACCCCACTTCCAACTGTTAACTAGCGTACACAGACTGGTACGTATTGCTCTGAAACAAATAACAATCTCACGGTTTCAGCACATCATACATCTTTAGTTCATGGATTCTATATCATTGCCCTAGGGTCAAGAGCTTCAAAGAAAATTATGCAATGAATCCGTGTCAGATAAAATCAACCTGTGCCACATTCCCCTCTCCATTATGTTATGCAACACTATCTCTACCTCCTCCTATGATAAATACAAATTACTCTTGCAAATGTACCGGCAACTTTCCTCACTTATAATTTGCTTGGTATGAGATATCAATAAGATGGAATTCCTGATTGCAAAAAGAATGAATTAACAAAGAACATCACATAAACAACTGGAAAAATAAATAAAACTTTCTTTCAGACTTTAGAGAAAAAGAGAAGAATCAAAGAACTGACCTCTGGATTCCTTAGCTGGCTTTGGAATTGGAGTGTGGCTTTCTCCTTCTCTAAACCTATGAATACTTATTAACAGAAAATCAAATATTTCTTTCTCACAATAGAAGAGTCATGTGGTATGAGACAGAAGCAAACCATAATTGTAGGGCTATTCTATTGCCACTAATCACATAATATTTTGCTTTTATTTTCACTCTTTAGAACTTTTCTTAAGGTCTGAATATTATATTAAAATCTAGGAGAATATGAACTTTCCATTGGGATGTCCGTAGTCATGCAGAGTACCTAATAATTATAGCAATAACTTCTTGTAGCTTCCTGTACATGTTTTGGGGTTTGAGTATGAAACATGTATCTAATTGGTAACTACCTTGGTATAACCTGGAAGTACTTAATAGGTTGTAGTACTCTAGCCTTTAGAGATCTGTTGAATATAACATTTAATATGTTAAGTATTCTACAATGAACTGTGACTATTCCTGACAATAACCTTTGATGATGGGGCCCTGAAATGATAGATTAACCTGGATTGTGGTAAAGTCACTAAACTAACAAACATATCCCAAAGAATAATTTTGGACTACAAAATGCTCAGGAAAACTTCAAAATGGCCAGCTAAGATGGTCCAGTTCGGAGACCACTCCAGGCAGGCCTTCACTTCAGTCCTGCACTGTTCCTTCACATAGAGACTGTACAACAAATGATATAGCTAACTTTCCCAGGAGTTGAACATTATCTCAATTTTCTCAAGATGCCTTAAAGATGTCATTGCTAACAGATAACAGGAAGCTGTTTTAAGAATACAACACTCACATTTCCAAGGCATGGGTTGGGTGGTTTTTGACCATTTAGTGGGTTATAAGTGTTTGTTGTCATTTAAGAGTGTTGGTTGTAAGTTGTTACTGATCATGATCAGGGAAAATGTTAAATAAAGGAGGTTAGATTCAGGAATTTCTTACTCTTTTTCTTTCCACTATCCTTTCTTTCTTATCTAGCATTGAAAAAAGAGGATAGGAAGGAAGAAAAGGGGAATATAGAAATAAGATAAAAAGGTAGATTATGGAATCTACACTTATTTATTTGTTTGTTTGTTTTTCAAGACAGGGTTTCTCTGTGTAGCTTGGGAGCTGATCCTGGCACTTGCGCTGTAGACCAGGCTGGCTGGCCTTGAAGTCACAGAGATCTGCCTGCTTCTGCCTCCTGAGTGCTGGGATAAAAGGTGTGTGCCACCAACACCCAGCTAAATCTACTTTTAAAATAAAAGAAAACTCCTAGTCTCAAATATTTGACATTGGTATTGATTTTTGTATATTGATACAAATTAAGGATTATGTTTGTGTTAACATAAGGTATATATGTCTCTACTCTTAAGGTGTAATACATACACAGCTCACTTAAAAATGTAATGTAAAGTTCTAGTCCTTGAAAGCTATGATTACAAACTGTTTAGGATAATTAAGAAATACAAGTTAGTATTTATGCCCTCATGACAATCAAATTTGTAGTCATGTTAGGTATGTTTTAAAGGTTAAACAGAGATATATTTCAGATAAGTGGTCTTCAAACACTTCAAAAATCTGCAGAATATACCATTTAATATATTTTAATAACATAAGGCTTTTCATGATAGTGAGACACATTTGCTTCTGGTAGCACCAATCTACTTCAAAGAAGATGATAGACATATCAAAACCTCCTTACAGAGTATGTTTCAAATATGGTAAAGCTAGACAATGGGTAACAAACTACCCTTCTGTAACTGCTGACAGTATGCTGTCCAAAATGGATAAACAGGACACAATCACTTTGTGAACCCCAAGACTATGTTAATTAAATAAAATCAACCTTGGGTAAGGAAGTGGAGTCAGCAACTAGTTGATGTAAAGTAGTCATGGAGTCAGAAAACGGATAGAGAGTTGCACATGAAGTAGTAGGGAGGGACTTTGAGTGTGGCAGTCCTTTTTACTTTGGGGTAGCAGAAGAGACACTCTCTCTTGTGGGATCACTGGCAAAAGCAGAAGGTCAGCTGGTTGCTTCTTGGCCTCTCTGAGCTAGTAGGTTTTCACCCCAGCATGTGACTCCTGAGTCTTCACTGGTAAATAGAAAGATAGAGATTTAGTTAAAAACTACATTTGGCAGGAGCAAGGAGGCAGATCCAGTGACATGCAGAAATCCAGACA